GTGTGTGGTTTGACAGGACAGAGTGTGTGGTTTGACAGGACAGAGACAGAACAGAGTGTGTGTTTTGACAGGACAGAGTGTGTGGTTGGACAGGACAGAGTTGGTGTGTTTTGACAGAACAGAGTGTGTGTGATTTGACAGGACAAAGTGTGTGTGATTTGACAGGACAGAGTGTTTGGTTTGAGAGGACAGAGTGTGTGGTTTTACAGGACAGAGACAGGACAGAGTGTGTTGTTTGACAGGACAGAGCGTGTGGTTTGACAGGACAGAGTGTGTGGTTTGATAGGGCAAAGTGTGTGGTTTGACAGGACAAAGTGTGTGGTTTGACAGAGTGTGTGGTTTAGAGTGTGTGGTTTGACAGAACAGAGATAGAACAGAGTGTGTGGTTTGACAGGACAGAGTGTGTGGTTTGACAGAACAGAGATAGAACAGAGTGTGTGGTTTGACAGGACAGAGTGGGTGTGGTTTGACAGGACAGAGTGGTTGTGGTTTGACAGGACAGAGTGTGTGGTTTGACAGGACAGAGACAGAACAGAGTGTGTGTTTTGACAGGACAGAGTGTGTTTTTTGACAGGACAGAGTGTGTGGTTTGACAGGACAGAGACAGGACAGAGTGTGTGTGACAGGACTGAATGTATGGTTTGACAGGACAAAGTGTGTGGCTTTACAGGACAGAGACAGGACAGAGTGTGTTGTTTGACAGGACAGAGTGTATGGTTTGACAGAACAGAATGTGTGGTTTGACAGGACAGAATGTGTGGTTTGACAGGACAGTGTGTGTGTGGCTTCACAGGACAGACACAGGATAGAGTGTGTGGTTTGACAGGACAGAGTGTGTGGTTTGACAGGACAGAATGTGTGGTTTGACAGGACAGTGTGTGTGTGGCTTTAGAGGACAGAGACAGGACAGACTGTGTGATTTGACAGGACAAAATGTGTGGTTTGACAGGACAGAGTGTGTGGTTTGATGATACAAAGTGTGTGGTTTGATAGGACAAAGTGTGTGGTTTGAGGACAGAGTGTGTGGTTTGACAGGACAGAAACAGGACAAAGTGTGTGATTTGACAGAACAGAGTGTGTGATTTGAGGACAGAGTGTGGGGTTTGATGGAACAAAGTTTGTGGTTTGATAGGACAAAGTGTGGGGTTTGACAGGAAAAAGTGTGTGGTTTGACAGGACAGAGACAGAACAGAGTGTGTGTTTTGACAGGATAGAGTGTGTGGTTTGACAGGACAGAGTTGGTGTAGTTTGACAGAACAGAGTGTTTGGTTTGACAGGACAGAGTGTGTGATTTGACAGGACAGAGTGTGTGGTTTGACAGGACAGATACAGAACAGAGTGTGTGTTTTGACAGGACAGAGTGTGTTTTTTGACAGGACAGAGCGTGTGGTTTGACAGAACAGAGACAGGACAGAGTGTGTGGTTTGACAGGACAGAGTGTGTGGTGTGACAGGACTGAATGTATGGTTTGACAGGACAAAGTGTGTGGCTTTACAGGACAGAGACAGGACAGAGTGTGTTGTTTGACAGGACAGAGTGTATGGTTTTACAGAACAGAATGTGTGGTTTGACAGGATAGAATGTGTGGTTTGACAGGACAGTGTGTGTGTGGCTTCACAGGACAGACACAGGATAGAGTGTGTGGTTTGACAGGACAGAGTGTGTGGTCTGACAGGATAGAATGTGTGGTTTGACAGGACAGTGTGTGTGTGGCTTTAGAAGACAGAGACAGGACAGAGTGTGTGATTTGACAGGACAAAATGTGTGGTTTGACAGGATAGAGTGTGTGGTTTGTTGGAACAAAGTGTGCTGTTTGACAGGACAGAGTGTATGGTTTGACAGAACAGAATGTGTGGTTTGACAGGATAGAGACAGGACGACAGAGTGTGTTGTTTGACAGGACAGAGCGTGTGGTTTGACAGGACAGAGTGTGTGGTTTGATAGGGCAAAGTGTGTGGTTTGACAGGACAAAGTGTGTGGTTTGACAGGAGAAAGTGTGTGGTTTGACAGGACAGAGTGTGTGGTTTGAAAGGACAGAGATAGAACAGAGTGTGTGTTTTGACAAGATAGAGTGTGTGGTTTGACAGGGCAGAGTTGGTGTAGTTTGACAGAACAGAGTGTTTGGTTTGAAAGGACAGAGTGTGTGATTTGACAGGACAGAGTGTGTGGTTTGACAGGACAGATACAGAACAGAGTGTGTGTTTTGACAGGACAGAGTGTGTTTTTTGACAGGACAGAGTGTGTGGTTTGACACGACAGAGACAGGACAGAGTGTGTGGTTTGACAGGACAGAGTGTGTGGTGTGACAGGACTGAATGTATGGTTTGACAGGACAAAGTGTGTGGCTTTACAGGACAGAGACAGGACAGAGTGTGTTGTTTGACAGGACAGAGTGTATGGTTTGACAGAACAGAATGTGTGGTTTGACAGGACAGAATGTGTGGTTTGACAGGACAGTGTGTGTGTGGCTTCACAGGACAGACACAGGATAGAGTGTGTGGTTTGACAGGACAGAGTGTGTGGTTTGACAGGACAGAATGTGTGGTTTGACAGGACAGTGTGTGTGTGGCTTTAGAGGACAGAGACAGGACAGAGTGTGTGATTTAACAGGACAAAATGTGTGGTTTGAGGACAGAGTGTGTGGTTTGACAGGACAGAAACAGGACAAAGTGTGTGATTTGACAGAACAGAGTGTGTGGTTTGAGGACAGAGTGTGTGGTATGACAGGGCAGAGTGTGTGGCTTGACAGGACAGAATGTGTGGCTTGACACGACAGAGACAGGACAGAGTGTGTGGTGTGACAGGACAGAATGTGTGGCTTGACACGACAGAGACAGGACAGAGTGTGTGGTTTGACAAGACAGAGAGTGTGGTTTAACAGGAAAGAATGTGTGATTTGTCAGGACAGAGTGTGTGGCTTGACAGAACAGAGTGTGTAGTTTGACAGAACAGAGTGTTTGATTTAACAGGACAGATTGTGTGGTTTGATAGGACAGAGTGTGTGGTTTAACAGGAAAGAATGTGTGATTTATCAGGACAGAGTGTGTGGCTTGACAGGACAGAGACAGGAGAGAGTGTGTGGTTTGACAGGACAGAGTGTGTGGTTTGACAGAACAGAGATAGAACAGAGTGTGTGGTTTGACAGGACAGAGACAGGACGGAGTGTGTGGTTTGACAGGACAGAATGTGTGGTTTGACAGGACAAAGTGTGTGGCTTGACAGGACAGAGACAGGACAGAGTGTGTGGTTTGACAGAACAGAGTGTATGGTTTGACAGAACAGAATGTGTGGTTTGACAGAACAGAGTGTGTGGTTTGACACGACAGAGTGTGTGATTTGACAGGACAAAGTGGGTGTGGTTTGACAGGACAGAGTGGTTGTGGTTTGACAGGACAGAGTGGTTGTGGTTTGACAGGACAGGGTGTGTGGTTTGACACGACAAAGTGTATCAGGTTTGAGTTTACCTTTTTCGAAAATCATCTGATTGATGATAATTATGAAATTTACTTAGTTTTGGGGCTACTGCAAAATTTAGACCCTAAAGCATCACAGCTGTATAATGCATTTTCATTCATTTTCTTGCTTCACTGTACTATATTTGAGTATAAATATCATATTGTGTCACAAAGAGTTAACATTGATTTTTTTTTGATTTCTAGATATTCATATCACACATATGCTATAGATGTAAAATGGTGCTGGCACGTTCTGAATAAGACTTATTTTTGCAAACATATGTAGATCCTTGAATGAAATGGAATGGTTCTATTTCAGGCCCTAAGACTATGAATAGAGGATGCTACTTGTGTAAATATTTGCTGAGATAAGAGCGTGGAAGATCTGCACTTATAGTGAACCCGGGAACTATAATCAACATGAACGATATCAGGCATATGAAAACTATCATAAACCGGAACACAGAGGTACTGATGAAATCCACTTTTTACCTAGATTGAATTACAACCGGCAAAATTATAAGAAAGGACGCGAGACTCATTGTCATTAAGACATCAAACCGAGCCGCAACGACGGCAAATTACAACGAAAACCATAAAGGATTACAGTGGAGAATGTGTAAATACAATCACTAATTTGTAACTTGCTGGCATGGTGTTTTTCATTGGCGAGTGTATGTAGGAATTATTTGATTGTGTTTAGTGGATTAAACTACACAGCTAACAGAACTTGACTGATGGGTAGTGTCTGATTTGTAACGCTGTATATAATACAGACGAACCTTTGCATTCGAATATGTTAGCTTGATCAGAGAGACTTAGTACCATCAAACATTATTAAGCGTAAATTACCAAAGTGGTTACATATGCAAAGCAGTGAATGTGTTAAATATGTACGCACATCACCACCAGTTATGGTAATGAGGATATACTTATATCTCTAAATTCTCCCACGCATTATATATAAAAATTGTCTGTGTAGAAAGTTATGTCAGATTTTAGGAAAAAGTCTTGGCAGGATATTAATATAGATAGACCATGGTCAAAACACACTTAGAGACCGGACATCACACCATGAAATAAAGCTAACCGACCCAAAAAATCATTTTCCTAAAAATATTGTTATATTGATCCTAGAGAATGTATGTTTAAGCTTCCTTTTAGTCTTAATCTGTTAGCAAACGCGCGCGCCATGTCCATTGTTGATATAATTGTGTGGAAATATGATGTGTCATAAATCACAATATATTGGAATATTAGTCTTGCTCTCGGTAACGTGTCATCTAACCTCTAACCTGAACATTTTCTGTATATATGACTATCGACCAATATCCCATTTCATAAAAAAAAACAAAAAAACAAAAAAAAAACAAACAAAAAAAAAAAAAAAAAAAAAACACAAACAAACAAAAAAATACGATTTAACAGATTTTCAATTAGACTATCTTGATCTTGTCTCTAAGACATTGCTTTGAAAGTCACTAAAGTCGCACTTATTCCTTATTCTGTATCATTTTCACGCTCAAAATAGCACTAATTAACCCATTAATGATAAACGTTACACTGACCTTCAGTTTTACAGTTTCGGCAGTTGTTTTTATTACATCTCTCTTTCATTCGACACTTAATGGAACCTCCCTGCAACACCAAACAAAAAGGAATAAGTTCTGGATTCTTCTGTCTATACAAACCTTTCAGCGTAAATCAGGGCTTTAACAATTGCATAAACTTGAAAATTCAAAGTATATAGGAACGTAATGAATACTGCATTTTATCGGCATAAAAAACGATTTGTCTTAAAAGTTTATAAATCATCATATATGTCACAGAAATAAAGAAATAGTAAGGATATATATCTATCAAATGATATTACCTATCCTTGTGGATGAATTTTCCCTGCAGAATATTTCTTAATTTGAACCATTATGATGTTTATTTATGTATAATATGCTACACAGGGCGAGAGTTTGACATCACACTGCGACGTACACTTAAGCAACACATTAAGATAATGCGGTAACACAGTATGAATGTAATGCTATGGCGAAATCACTTTTAAATTAACAAAGCAGGTTCTGAGCAATGTGAATTTCGCGCATAAAATTAAACGTGGAACCATTTACTTGAACATAACAATAAAAACAACTGTAAATCTCCCTAAATCGAATATAAGGCATACATTTACAGTTAAATATGTTCTATTTTATCGCAAATAACATCACAAAACGTGCGAAATTTGACTGGAATTTAATTTCCACCATTACTGTGCCATGGAAAGATGAAATGATGTCCCGGAAATGCCAATGAAGAGAGTGTGTTCCAGTATGGTTACAATTATATATTCACACAACAGTATAAAAACATCAAGAACCATAACGTTCGCTTCTGGGCTAGATTATATTTACGTGCACCAGAGAGTAACACACTCAGCCTGTGATACTGTAGACAGCCACACACATACATCTCGCAATTCATAGTATTTCAAAATTGGTTTGGAGCCTTAGCGACAAGAAGTATATCTTCTGATAACATTTATTATCCTACCTGCTGTACGCTATCTTTTCACCTGTTTATCGATATGTTCTTCTTTAAGTCGGATACGCATATCGCATGTTTTGGTCGTAAAGAACAAAACAGCAAAACATAATACCAAAATATTAGCTAAATAGTAATTCAAACTCATTATTGACAAAAGCAAATGTGATACATGTAGATTTCAATAATATATTTACATGGTACAAATAATAAAAATATTACGTGGTATTTTTTATAGTATTTTTCTTCAAGATCATATAAAATCTTGTTTTTTTTACAAAGCAAGATATTTTTTTTTCAAAATTATATAATTATTTTCAACTTTGATCGTGTTTTGATTTAGTTATGGATTCAATCGAGTTTACGAAATAAATAACTAGCCTATAGATACATTAAATATCAGAAATTTTTATCTACAGGAACATGTAAAGTAATAGCTGGTACGTATATATGAATACTGACGTATTAATATATCTACTGATACTGTCAAAGAGATAATTTTCGTGGGACAGAATTTTCCTGTTTCTGTATTTCTATTGTGTTGGCATTTGATCTCATGGGAAAAATACTACTCGGGTGTAAATTTTAAATTGTTTAATGTATTTCGTGGATATAGGAACTCGCGTGTTAACATTACTCTTACAATCTGCAGGGAAAAACAAAACTCCGGACTTTACGGTGCGCCCACAATCCTATTACATACATTCAGTTATATACATACAACTGAATCAACGCCAGATTACGCAGTATATACATCAGTGTGTGTATATGAAACCGAAACTGAATTTGATAACTCCTATCCACAACCTAGCATTAGAGACAAATTGTTAGCATTAGTTTACACGTAATGTAACAGTGACTTTGATAGAATCTCGACGATGTTCTTCATTTACCCGACATCTGCAAACGTAACAGTTCCGGAGACCAAATGGTGGTGCTCTACTCCATTGCGCCGTAGACCGAACTTCGTCAGAACATCCTGAAATCATAAAAGTGTAACTACATACATATACTTAACTACTTATCTGTCTTCAGTTAAGGTATAGTACGCAGAATATCATGTTTGATGTAGTCAAGCCACGTCGACGTTATGTATATTAAATATGATATATTGATAGAACGCATACTATTTTTTAAAGTATTTGCAGTATAAAGCTTTCGGGTAACGAAAACTGTTAAAATATAAGTAAACAAGTTAATTATATACAAACTAAGAATTATATTTATATTTTACAGGTATGGATTGATGTTTCCATTTCTTTTTTAAAAGTAGTCAAAAATTCGTATAAAAATTCGCAAAAATTCACCATTTCATATCTATATATTGAACCATCCATAGATTTGTAAAATTGTGTCATCTTCAACGATGTAAATTTCCACATATCGACAAAAAAAAATCTTGTATTGCATAGAAGACAAATTAGCAAATAACACCTTTCAGCACATATTTATAATTAGATACGTTAGCAATGTAATAGTTTAATATACACTGAATGTGTATATCACAAAG